TATATATATATATATATATATATATATATATATATATATATATATATCTTATAGGCATATAGCAATAGTATAAGTGAAGCCCCAAAATACGTAGCTAGAGGTATTTGTTTGATCTGAAATTTTTGACGTCTTTGAGTTAAAAAAAAAAAGTGACTATGAGTTCTTGAAGACTTAGATCCACTGTCCACCAAATGGATGACTTACATTCAAGGAAAATGGCAGATTCATGTTCCCCTTTTGTTGGTGCAAAATATTTTTTTTTCATCGCCTAAATTAGATGTACATGTGTGCAAAACTTGGGGCCCAAAGGAACTGTACTTTACAAATTTTGTAAAGTACAAGACCCAAAATTTTGCGAGCATGTAGATCTCAACTAGGAGATGTAAAAAAAAGGTATAATGGGAGAACTCAAATGGACGGTGGATTTAGGCCTTCAAGAACTCAAAATATTTTTTCCTTTTCTTTTTTTAAATTGTTTAATTTAAAAAATAAATATGTACAAAAATTCAGACTAAACAAATCCCTCAAGCTATTTGTTGTCGAGCTTGGTTTACAACTATAACAAAAGTCCATTTGGGTTATAAAATCTTTGTCTTACATGTGAACACACTCAATGGTGTCCCCTCCCCCTATCCACAACATAGATTTGAACAGACCATCAAGACTGGATAGTCAACGGCCACTTCCCCATAAATGTGGTACCCCACCACCCTTCCATCACCAATACCAGTATACCACCTTAGTGGAGGTGGTGGTCAGGAGCAAGCAGTGGCTGTCAGGGTAATGGTAGCGGTAATGTTGGTTGCAGGGAGGTGGGATCGTGATCCTAAACCTCAAATATGCACTGTCCATCCAAATGAATGGTGAATAAGGGGAAGACAACATTGTTGAGTATCCACTGGCTGCGACATGCTATTAGGTGCTCCCCATATACCTAACGTGATTATCTATACAAGGCGCCCACAACATACTTAGAATCAATATATATATATCATAAATGTATTGAAAAATGACAGGGAAACCCCCCCCCCCCCCCAAACCCTTGTGATAAATCACTTCCCTTGTGGAGTCTAAAATTGATTATAAATTCTTAGCTACGCTGGTTTAAAATATGGGTAGGAAAGTCATTGGGTTTGCCCGAGATAACTAAGTTCAGTCAATTTTTAACCATAAAACGCGATTAGAATAATTTTTTATTTTTTTGGTGGGGCATGGGGGAGGTTGGGTTCTAACTCAACAGTTTCAAAAATAGGAGAAGCAAAGAATTTTAATCAAAACTAGTTTCCTTGAATATCCTATGCTAGAGGTCCTATCATACTTGCATTTGTGCAATCCTATTGGGAGCTTCAGCTTCAGC